GGCAGAATGGACCGCGAGAGCTAAGGAGCACGGCAAGATAGATGCAATAATACAGCATAATACGCCCCAAGGAAGAAGGAGTATGCAAGAAAAACACAAGGAGCACGGCAGAATAAACCCCGAAAGCGGAGGAGCACGGCAGAATATGCCCCAAGAGCTAAGGAGCACGGCAGAAAACGACCAGGAGCACGGCATCGTAAGCCCAAAGAACAAAGGATTGTGACAGAAAATGGCCAGGAGCATGGCAGAATAGGCCCGTAGAGCGAAGGAGCACGGCACAACAAAAAAACAACGAGCATTGCAGAATAGACCCCGTGAGCGAAGGAGCACGGCAGAACTGCTCATTCTCTGCCTTGCTCTGTTTTCGCCGGCCATGCTCCGCCCGATTTGTTTGAGGATGTATGCAGCGAGAGCGCGATGTTTAACACGAGAGGTAGTAAAAACGCCACTCCAAGATATCATGTTTGTTAGAATGTCTCAGGCGAGACGCTAGTGTTTGAACATCTATCGAATTCGCGGCTTCCCATGTTTAAGGGATGTCTCAGGCGAAACGCTAATTTTTGATGAAATCGATGTTGTGAACATTTCATGTGTGTAAGGATGTCTCAGGCGAAATCGCCATTTTTAATCGTCTCGAGGGCGCTCCTGGGGGTCAAATTTGGGCTTGTTTGGGGCCTTTGGGGGCCTTCTTGATGCCTTACAAAACCGTTACAGTCCGATGTGACACACATTCATTTTTTCAGGATGTCCCTATCGAAATCGTCATTTTTAGATGACTGGCTTAAACCATCTAGAAGCCTTTTCAGGAGCGATCCCCAGACGATGTTGAAACAGCAATGTTCAAAACGATGTTGTTGGATTTGTTATTGAATCGCTTCGCTCATTCCGCCGGCCCATAGTGTAGCGTCGCTGGCACTTGCTTGCGTGCTCGGGGGGGCATTTGGGTGGCCTCCTGGGGCCGCTTGGGGGCCTCTTGGGGGCCTCCTGAGGGCCTGTTGGGGGCCTCTTGGGGCCTCTTAGGGGCCTCCTCCTGGGGACTTCTGAGGGCCGAGGGCTCGAAATATTGTTTCGTGTTCCCCCCCTGGGGTCCCTCTTGGGGCGTTCTTGGGGCCCTCTTGGGCCGTCTTGGAGGCCTCTTGGGCCGTCTTGGAGCCCTCTTGGGCCGTCTTGGGGCCCTCTTGGGGGCCTCTTGGGCCCTCTTGGGGCGGTCTTGGGGGCCTCTTGGGCCGTCTTGGGGTGTCGTGAAGCCGAAAAGGTGGAAACGCCAAAATCTCTCCAAAACCTAAGGAAAAGCAGTGAATTTTGCCTCTTGGGGCCCTCTCGGGAGTGCTCTTGGAGGCCTCTTGGGGCGTCTGGGGGCCATCGTGGGCGTCTTGGAGCGATCTTGTGGCATCTCGGACCCCTCATGTAGCATCTTGGGGGCCTCTTGGAAGCCTCTTGGCCCTTCTTGGGGCTCTCGGGGACGTCTCGGAGCCGCGTTGGTGCGCTGCTGGAGCGCCCTGGTGACTCCTCCCGGGACTCTCTCGGGACCTTGCCGGGGTACTTTCCGCCCGGGGGCCCCCAGGGGCCGCCCCGCGCGCGCGAAGTAGAAAGATTGTAAAGCAGTCACCGGAGATCTTAGCACGCCTCTGGCCCGTTGGGCCGGCGAATTTGTTTGAAGATGTCCCTAGCGAAATCACTATTTTCAGCAACCTGAAGGGCGCTCTTGGGGCCATGTTGTGGCCTTCTTTTGCTTCCTGATGCCCTCCGAAAATCATTACGATGCGATGTCGCACGCATCAATGTTTTGAGGATGTCCCTAGCGAAATCGACATTTTGTGAAGGCTGCCTTGGGCCGTCTGGAAGCCTTTTCAGAATTAAAGTCAAAACTATGTAAGAACAACAGTTTTCAAGTCGATGCTGGTGTATGTTTTCATTTTTTGAGGATGTCCCTAGCGAAATCGCTATTTTCGGAAGTCCCCCAATCGTTCTGACAGCCATCTTGACGTGCTTTTTGGCCTCTCATTTCCTCATCTTGAGGCACTTCGAGAACGATACTAAGACGACGTTGAGGACATCTCATTTTGTTGAGGATGTCCCTAGCGAAATACAAATTTTCTGCCGTGCTCTTCGTTCTGGTCCGCCGTGCTGCCGCTCGTCTTCTGAGGATGTCCCTAGCGAAATCGCAAGTCGTAACATAAGAGTTAGTTAAAGACTTCAGTCGCCACCTCATTTTTTCGAGGATGTCCCGAGCGAAACGCACATTTTCACAGACGGCGACATTTCGCTGTCATCAACTGTTCGAGGATGTCTCGAGCGAAACGCTTGTTTTTGTTGAACGCGATGTCGCGAAGATCTCATTTTTGTGAGGATGTCTCACGTAAAATCGCCATCCCGAGAAATCCGCTAAGCCGGTACACCGTGCGGCCCGCCACCCCCTATAGTTAAGAGATCTCTTACTGATCTGAGGAGGATTCAGCCAAAACGTCCAGCTCGCTTCTCGTTCCTCGAAGACGCTTCCCGTCATCCGCCGACCCCCGCTTGTCGGGAATGACAAGGACCGTGAAATAAGTGGTTGTCCCCCCCCCCCGCCCCCGTCCCCCAGGGTCCCGAATCTGATTTGACCCCCCCCCAAGACGACGCCGTGACCGTCCAAGATGGTCCCCTGACGGCCCGTGAAAGCGCCGCGGACGGCCCAGCAGGGCCCCCACAGGCCCAGTAAACGCTCCAAGACGCCTCCCAAACGACCCCCTACCGGAGCCATCACTGGCTGTGTCTCACACGTGCACCCAAGCCAGAATTCGGCAACCGATTGCACACGCGGCGAAGAGGAGCCCATGCTCCTACAACCTGACGGCCTCCAAGCGCATCAATCTCTATGATCCCCCCGGGAGCCAGAAACCGAAGACTCGACCCCGCCCTTGGACGGGAGCGAGTCCGGCACCACAACCCAGGAGCGCAACATGATGCCTCAAGATGCACCCAAGAGGCCCCGAAAACAAGCCGACTGGCCCCGAATACGAACCCGAAGCGCTCTCATAACGTCTTTCCAAAGATCCTGCCCCCCCCCAGCAAAAATACAAGGGGTCGGCGGATGTGGCGTAAGCCTGTAGAATCACCGTGGAACTCCGAAACTTGTTGCTTATGCAGCTTTCCACGTTCTGTCTTCGATACACTTCCTGCCCCGTCACCGCTCCCCGATGTTGATTTCAACTACGGTGGCAAAACCGATCTATCAACATTGCGGCATACGTGTGGCAATGCGAGATCGCTTCGCCCAAGAGACAATGCATTGGCGAACGTGTTGCATCCAACTGGCAGACAAATGGGGCCGAAGGAGCCGTCCGCCTGAATTCAGACACATTACCGCACTGACGAAGAACGAATCATGTGAGCGATCGGGTTACTCCAACGAGAGGAGATGAGCCCAACTTGCTTCCATGGGAAAGCCGCTGAGATAGGGACCTCCAAACTTAACTGAATTCACCCCCGAGCGGGCGGGCCCCCAACGGATTGGGGATGACTTTTTCGGACCAGACCCCTGGCCGGCACGGGTCGAGCCCTGGCGCGACCCTAGAAAGCCTCTTGCGAGGCAAAACAACGGAATGATAATGTGTAATCCTCGAATTCGCTCCCCGTCCCCCGCAATGCCCCCAATCGCGCCAGACGCAACCGTTCCTGCCCCGCGCATCCCGGCAGAATGACGAGCCCCAGCCCCAAGCAAAAAAACAATTGGTTTGGCGAGTTGCAGCCTCCCCGAACGAGGTGCACCAGCGTTTGAGCCACAGGCACACAGGCGGGCAACCTGCGAGATTCTTCCCCCAGACAGGGGTCGGTATAAGTATTTCGTTGTGGACTTCTGCCGCCGGCTCTCTGACCCCGCCCCCCTCCTTCCTGCTGCTGCTGCTGCTGCTGCTCCCCGTCTACCTACTGCTCGTCGCCCTACTCCGCAGATTCTGGCTCAGGCGATCGCACGGCTCCGCGCCCATCGCCCCCCACGGGCGATCGGATGGCGCAGGCCAGAGGAGGCGTGGCGCCTGCGATGGTGCCCTGCGTCATCGAGGCTGCTGAACATGGTATGGTGCTGGCTGGGGCGCCGAGCCGCACTGCGGCGGCTGTGACGCACTCGGACCAGTCTCGCGGCGATGGTCGCCTTCAGGCAAGGGTCCTGCGCTGCGGGCCGCTGGCGGGGTGCGCTACCCCGCTGTCGTGGCCGCGTTCCGCGACGCCAAGGGCGTGGCGCCTGGCGCCATGCGGCGCGGCGGCTTGCTGGTGCTGGAGCGGACGCTGCGGCGGCCAGGGCGTGCGCGGCTGCTGCCGCCCACCTACAGCATGCGGCGCCAGCGGCGGGCGGTGCCCTGCGCCATGGCCAGCCTCCCAGCGATCCGCCCCACAGAGAGCGTGCTCCTCGGCCTTTGCCGCCTAGGGCAACGCAATGGCGGTCTTCGTGGCGCATCCACGAGGATGCCGCCTCCCGCTGCCACCAAAGCCCGCTTGAGGGACGTGCGGACTCTTTCTGTTTGAGAGACGGAGCTGGGACCAGCGCTCCCCCTCGGCCGTGCCTACATAAACTCATCCGCCCCCCTCCTCCCCACTCCTTCTCCTGGCCCCCCTCTTCAGGAACAGCCCTTCCTCCAGCACCTCCGTCTGATCAGCTGCCTTCCTAGACCTCCCACGACTGCTTCGCAATCTGGACCGCCAGACCTCTCGGCACCTTCCCAAGGACCTGTCCTTCATCCCAAATCATTATGCGACGGCGACGGAGCCCGACGTCCCCTGGCGGCTGAGAAAAACAAACAACCGCAGAACCAGAAACTTTAGGTCCGCTCGGATTTATTGAATACGCGCTGGACCTCCCTCGCTGGCGCGCAGAGCGCGCCAAAGGCGCCGCTGGAGGCGCCGCCAGGCGGGCCCAAACGCCGATCCGAGAAACCCACGAGCAGCGCCAAACGTTTTCTATGCTTATGCAATTGTTTCTTCCTCGACCCCAGCTCACGCACTGGATCCCACCCTTGCGCAGCCTCAGAGGAGCTGAAGCTGGCCACAAGGTCTATCGCCGCCCCGGCCTCGAGGTAGAAGCTCGCCGGCGTGACTGACAGGCATGGGCGCAGCCAGAGCCAGAGACGGAGCGAACAACAAGAAAGGAACGGTGGAGGGAAGGAAACAAACAACATCAAGACCGAAGGATATGCAGATGTGAAAACTGTCGTTGTGTACCGCGTTCGGTGGATCTCCTGATGGGCCACGAACCGTGCGAAGGGTGTGCCGAAATGGAGCGGGGGGGCCATGCACGCGCAGCCACTGGGGCCTCAGGTAGAGCCCCCATATGGGGCCACGAAGCGTGTGGGGTGCGCCGAATCGGGTGCGGGTGCGCCGTGCGGACTGTGCCACTGGGGCCCTCGCTGGAACTCCCTGTGGAGCCACGGAACGGGTGAAGGGTGTGCCGAATCGGCTGCGGGTACGCCATGCGGACTGCGCCGCTGGAGCCTTCGGGTGAGCTCCCTCACTGTGTGATGGGCACGAAACCTGTGAGGGTTTTACCGAATCGGGTGAGCGTACGCCATGCGGGCTGTGCCCCTAGGGCCTTTGGGTGGAGCTGCCTGCGGGGTCACAAAAACTGTGATGGGTGTGCCGAAAAGTGTGTGGGTATGCCATCCGGACTGTGCCGCTAGGGCCTTCGGTCTGGCTCCCTGTATGGCCACGAAGCGCGCGAGGGGTGTGCCGAATCGAGAGCGGGTACGCCATGCAGACTGTGCCTCTGGGGCATCCGATGGAGCTTCCTATGACGAAACGAGTGAGGGGTGCGGGTACGTCATGCGGACAATTCCGCTGGGACCTTCGGTGCTGTGGCCACGAATCGTGTGAGGGGTGTGCAGAATGGGGTGCGGGTACGCCATGCGGACTGTGCCACTGGGGCATTCGGTGAAGCCCCTATGGGGCCACGGAACGTGTGAGGGGTGTGCAGACTCGGGTGGGTACACCATGCGGACTGTGCCGCTGGGGCATTCGGTGGACTCCCTGTTGAGCCACGAAACCTGTGAGGGGTGTGCCGAATCAGGTGCGGATGCGCCATTCGGACTGTGCCACTGGGGCATTCGGTGGAACTCACTGTGTGACCACGAAACGTGTCGGGGGTGTGCCGATTCGGGTGCGGGTACGCCATGCGGACTGTGCCGCTAGGGCCTTCGGTGGAACTCCCTATGGGCCATGGGGGCTACGAAGCGTTTGCGGGGTGTGCCGAATCGGGTGCTGGTACGCCATGCGGACTATGCCGCTGGGGCCTTCGGTTGAGCTCCATTTGGAGTCACGAAACGTGTGAGAGGTGTGCCGAACTGAGTGATATGCGGAAGCAGACGAAGAGAAAGGAGGAGGGGGAGGAAGTGAGGACCGCGGGGCGCTGTCTCCTCTTACCGGTTCCGGCTTCAATCTTGGAATCGTTTGTGTGAAATTTCCGGTCGCATTGGTTGCCGCTTCCGATTTCAAAAATATGTGTTCGGAAAAGGTGGAAATTATCCCGGCAAAGCAATCTAACAGCGATGTGTAGGAGCATATCTGGAAGCATTCCCCTTAAGATTCAGATGAGAATCCAGTTGTAGAATTCTGCTGTTCTCGCAGTCGTAGTCGCATTCGCGATGACAGTCGCAGTGGCAACGGCAGTCGCAGTCACAGCCTCAGCCTCAGCCTGCCTCAGCCTCAGCCTCAGCCTGCCTCAGCCTCAGCCTGCCTCAGCCTCAGCCTCAGCCTGCTTCAGCCTCAGCCTCAGTCTGCCTTCAGCCTCGGCCTCAGCCTCAGCCTGCCTCAGCCTCAGCCTGCATCAGCCTCAGCCTCAGCCTCAGCCTGCCTCAGCATCAGCCTGCCTCAGCCTCAGCCTCAGCCTGCCTCAGCCTCAGCCTCAGTCTGCTTCAGCCTCAGCCTCAGTCTGCCTTCAGCCTCGGCCTCAGCCTCAGCCTGCCTCAGCCTCAGCCTGCCTCGGCCGCAGCATCAGCCTGCCTCAGCATTCAAAATGTGGCCCAGGAATGGAGTTCTGGGAACTAGAAGAACACGAGGTGGCCTACAGTTGGCTCCGGGCATTCAAAATCATGCCCAGGAATGGAGTTCTGGGAACTTGAAGAGCACGAAGTGGCCTACAGTTGGCTCCGGGCATTCAAAATGTGGCCCGGGAATGGAGTTCTGGGAACTCGAAGACCACGAAGTGGCCTACAGTTGGCTCCGGGCATCCAAAATGTGGCCCGGGAATGGAGTTCTGGGAACTCGAAGACCACGAAGTGGCCTACAGTTGGCTCCGGGCATCCAAAATGTACGCCGGGAATGGAGTTCTGGGAACTCGAAGACCACGAAGTGGCCTACAGTTGGCTCCGGGCATCCAAAATGTACACCGGGAATGGAGTTCTAGCAGCGCCAAGAGCGATTTTGCGAGGATGTCCCAGGCGATTTGGGCTTCGGCGGCAGCCGCGCCGGGTCCCGCCCCGGGTCCCGCCCCGACCCCCCTGAGGAGTCATGATGCTCTCTTTTGACCCCACTAGAAACCTATCAGTCTTCGCTGTTAGGTAAAAACAGCCCTACCGTTTCCGCGGCCGTAAAAAGGCGGTGGGAGGAATGGCCAAACCATCATGGAGGAACAGCTGGCGATTGAATCTCTAGGGGGGCAGACTCGCGCCTCGTCTTGAGGAGGCGCGCGCAAGGCACGAATTATTGGCGTCCCAGATGGCCCCCGCGTCTGAAATCTGACACATCTAGCCCTGTTGGAATCCCATCAGCCCTTTAGGGCGTGAGTGGTTTAGAGGGTTTCCTCGTCCAACCCCCTTCTTCCCCTTCGGGGAAAGGTTTACCCATGCCCCTACCACATCCCCCTGGGTCTGGAGGAAGGGGTCGCGGATAGCTAGAGCGTCCAAGATGGCCTCGGCGAGCAAGCCAAAATCATGAATGTTAAAACGGTGTTGGCAACATCTGGGCATCCTTGGGGGGGAGGGGCTACGTGGGTACAGCCCGTCATGTGATCGATATCCTGCGAGATGGCCCCAAGATGGTCTCTGAGGCTCCCAAGGGTGCCTCACTCAAGACGGCCCCAAGAGGTGCCCAGGGGGCCCCAAGAGGCATCCAAGAGGCCCCCGAGATGCCCCCCAAATGCCCCCAAGAGGCTCCCACGAGACCCCCAAGAGAAGCCGAGAGACCCCCCAAGAGACACCCAAAACGTCCCAAGAGGACTCGGCGAGGAGGACACAATCACAGAGATTATTAAGATTTTGGACGCATGTCGGCCTCCTGGGGGATGGAACCCTACTGTGCCAAAGCCCTCCTTTGATCGATCTCCTCCAAGATGGCCCCCGAGGCTAACACGGGTGCCCCATGACGGCCCCGAGAGGTGCCCAGGAGACACCAAGAGGCCTCCAAGAGGTCCCAGAGATGCCCCCAAAGATGACCCGCAAGAGGCCTAAGGGGATCCCCAGAGGCAGCCAAGACGCCCCAAGAGGCCCCCGGGACTGCCAAGAGACCTCCTGGGCAGCCCAAGAGGACTCCAAGAAGCTCTCCGAAGAAATCCGAAAAGATTCCAGGAGGCATTTCAGAGGCTTCAGGCCTTTCTGCTCGCCCTTCTGCTCCTCCTGCTCCTCCTGCTCCTGCTCCTGCTCCTGCACCTCCTCCTCCTCCTCTTCCTCGTTTGCCTATTCATCCTCGTTCCCTCTCCCTCGTCCCCCTCCACCTGTCACTGATTACACCTCCTCCTGGTCATCAAATCGCTTCTCCATCCTCCCCCTCTTGAGGTATGACGTCTTGCCCAGCCCTGTATTCCACTGCATGCTCCTCCACATCCCTGATCAGGGCAACTCGTCTGAGCATCGTTTCTGGGTGGGCTTGTGGGGTTACGCGGTGCGTCTACAATCTGAACCTCGAGATCTGCCTGGGCCTGGAAGGTCAGGGGCAAAGTGTCGAGAGGGGGGGAGATGGAAGGAGAGAGGGGAAGCTTTGTTCGACGCTTCCCAAACTTAACCAAGGCCGATCTGGTCGGAAAACCTATAAGAGGTGTTCTACATATGTCGTGTGCTTGGACGTCGCACTGGGGCTCGCACCTTTACGCCTAACCTCTTCAGATCGCCGCATCTTCCCCTTCCCCCAGATGAAGAACAGCCTGCAAAAATAGAAGCTTTCGGAGGGCCGCGTGGTTTTCGTGGCTCCTCGCTGGATCCCGCCCCTGGCGCGCGGAGCGCGCCCAAGGCTCCGCCGGAGGCGCCACCGGGGCGGCCCAACGCCGATCCAAGACATCCGCGTGGAGCTCTGGAAGTATATGTTTATGCCGTGTTCTCCGTTCGGGTGGTTGGACGTCGCACCTGGTATCGCACTACTACGCCAACCCTCTTCAGTCCGCCGCCTCGTGCTTCTCCTCCACTCCCTCCTCCTCCTCCTTCCCTCCACCTCCGCTTTGTGCGAACAAGCGAAGGGGTATGAGAAGAACTGCGAGGGATGAGGTGGGCTCGGTGGGCGACATGCGAACTTGTGACTGCTGCACAGACAGGCCCGTCGAACCCAGACGGAGAAACACGAAGCGGATGAGGAGAAAATAGGAACATGTGTTGTTTGCGATTTCCCCTTTCTCGGCTCGTCGCCGCCCGTTGCAGTCCCGTTGCCGGCTGCGAATTCTTGAGGTTCCGCTCGTTATCGCGCCGTCGACGCCAAGATTTCGCTTTGCACTGCGTTGCATTCCTCTGAGTGGCTTGCTGGCTTTGCTTTCGGCACTGCACATCACATACTGTATCACTCCACTGATTGGGGTCCACGCTGGAAAACTCTGCTCTCTCCAGCTCGTGGGGTCCTGATCCAGGCAAGCGCTCGGCCATCTGGCGACGTGGCACTCCGCCCGCGGGCAGCAGAACATGCAGAAGCAGGGAAGGCAACGCCCCTCGACGATCGAGGCGAGGCGAGGCGCGGGGCGAGCGCGCGAACCGGCGGGACCAGCCCTACGACTACATGAGAGGGCGGCCCATGGGGGGCCAGGGCCCTCACGAAACACGTTGTGAGCAAGAGTCGGGGTCTGAAACGTGGGGTTTGAGCTTGGAGACGAAGAAATGAATTTACTTGCCGTTGTCGTCGTCCGTGTCAGTGTCGACCACAACCGTTCCAAATGTTGACCGCCAGAATGAACGCAATCTATGCATCCGGAGGTGGGGGGACGATCGCAGGAGTCGGAAAAACACGAGCAAGCGATCCTCCCCGAGCCCGTAGCATCGGCTAGAGCCCCCGCACCTCCCGCCCGGGAGCGGCCGAGCCTCCCCCTACCCGCCCGCCCCCGCGGCAGCTTCGGCGATCTTCCGACGCGGCTTCCACATGGAGGGGTAACAAACTGCATGAACATAAACCATTGGAGTTCCGCGCGGTTTTCGTCGATCTGCGCTGGGCCCCCCTGGCGGCGCCTCCGGCGCCGCCACTGGCGCAAGAAATTCGCGCGGAGCGCCGAAAGTGTAGGTTTATGCCGTTGCTGCTTCTCCTTCGACTCCGGGGTCGTCGCCTAACCTCGCACATCATGCCCCGACGCGCGAGTGTGGGGGGGGGGCGCGGGGGCAGAGCGAGGAGCGAGCGCGCCTCTGAACTTGTCCGACTCGAGGCTGGTCTCGCCGCCCTCGGGAGTGGAGTAGTGGACCTCGGGCACGTCCGCCGGATCGTCCGCCTCGCCAGAGGGGCCCGGCGGGAAGCGTCAGGCGGAGAGAAGGACGAGCCATGGATGAGGGCGAGGGCGAGTACGAGACAAGGACGATGAGGGTGAGGATGAGGGCGAGGGCGATGAGGTGAGTGGGATGAGGACGATGGCGAGGATGAGAAAAAGATGAGGGCTATGCGTGAAAAGGAGGGAGAGGATTGGGGCGAGGACGAGGGTGGAATGACGAGCCCAACATGGTTCCAACGTGACTCGCGTAATTCAAGAGGGTTTCAAGTCTGCCCTACGAGAGCCCAGCGTGCTTCCAACCTGGCCCAGGGAGCCGCCTTGGGCCGAGTGCCGGGGCCGAGTGAAGACCGATGTCTGGCAACTTGAGAACGCATTGTGTCGTCCAACGAGCAGGGCGGGAGCGGGGAGAGGAGAGCAGGAGAACAAACAGGAGGGGGAGGAACAACTGAGAAACGGCAGGGGGGCGATGAGGAGCAGGATGAATGGGATGGGGGGGACGAGAACAGCGGGGAACAGCGGGGAAAGAGGATGAGCAACGGGTCGGGACAAGAGGAACAATGAGACAACATCTGGGCGAGAAAGGAGGGAGGGGAGGGGCAAGGATTGGAGGAGGCAGGGAGAGGAAATGGGTGAGTAGGGAGAGGGAGAACAGAGAGAAGGAGGACAATGAGGGGGAATGAGGCGACGAAAAGAAGGAGACTGATGAAAAGGGGGGGCCAAGAGGTAGGAGGAGCAGGAGCAAGTCGTAATTTCTGCGAATGGTGGATGATTCGTGAAGTAACAAGGAAGGAATCGCCCGAGGTTCTCTCCCCTAGCGTACCACACGATTTGAAGCCCTGTACACAGGGGGAGATTTCTGATTTCGACTGCATCGAGGAGCTGCAATATGTGAACACTGTGGCTCGGGCCCGCGCTTGGTGGGCCCATGTACGCCTTTGCTTCCGAACGAACTCAGTGGCGCTTGCGGCGTAGGAGCGGGAATTGATGCGGACGTGGCAATGAGAATGGCGATATCGTGCCTTCTTGCTAGCGTAGAGCACTGGAGGATCCTACCCAGAACCTCCAGGAACGAAGTGCAATTGTCACTGATTCGGATGTCTGCGAAGAAACCTGACGCAGCGATGAGGATTATCTGATGTATGTCCCGCGAAGACACGCAACAGGAATCAAGCGGGGGCCTTCAGAAACCTCGATAATTGCCGAAATCTGAGCTGATATCAACGCGTGGTTGAGGATGTCTCAGGCCAAACCTCTGCGTTCGCGTTCGGCGAATGAAGAAACGCAAAGGGAAATGGACGGACACCGCGGAAAGCTCAGGAGACTTGCAAACCACTTGTAGAAATCAGCTCAAGAAGCGGTTTGTGCTTGAGGACGTCCCAAGCGCAACCTGCAATTGTGGCCATACCCCAGGATCACTTTCTTGTCATCGCTCGGACGTCCACGCCCCGTGCATTTGTCGGTTTCGTGCCTATACTGTTTCGCAGAATGGTCCAAGATGCTCCTCGATGGCAAACGCCGGGGATCTTCTGACCCGGGTCATTCCAGACACAGGTCAATCAGGCCTTGCAAAATCCTGCAAGATCCTACAAGATCATGCACCACCCGGGTAAATGCGAAAGATCCTGCAAGATCCTACAGGATCCCGCACCCAAACCCGGGTCAATGCGACCCTGGCCCTGCAGGATCCTGCAAGATCGGGCGCTCTGGCTGACCCCCGTTTGCATTGACCCCCGTCTCAAAGCTCCCGAAGATGCACACGTCCGAACGATTTCGGGCTGTTACTAGAGCTGTTACTAGATTCAAGGTTGGGAGCCCACCGCCCCACCCAGGGGCCTGCCGCCCCGCACCCGCAAGGCCCGCGTGGCTTTCTTTAATTTTACAGGGGAGTCCTGCTCGATGGCAACCATCGCCGCCCCGCGGTAGAAACACAACACACAACAAAACATGCACGCGCAGCGCCCACGCGGAGACACAATCGAGAATGAACTCTCCCCTGTCTGTGGGTCCCCTCGAAATTCGTGAGGGATTTTCTGAAGACGATATAGGGGAGCTTCCTGGAAGATCTGGGGACACCTCGGGACAGCGGCACATCCGGAAACATACAGACATGTTCGAGGACAGGGAAGATAAGGAGGCGGAGGAAGAGGGGGAGGGGGAAAACGATACAGGAAAAGAACGGGGGAGAGGGAGAAGGAGAAGGAAGGCTGACTGAGTGAGCGCGCGCGAATGACGCCCAACTCCCAATTCGGCACGCACCTCGCACTTTTCATGTCTCCGTAGGGGGCTCCTCCACATGCCCATATGTGGCACCAGCTGGCGTGGCATGCCACTCAAGGCCAAATCCTGTACCATCTCACGCGTGTCGTCCCCAAATGAGGTGTTCCACCTACGGCCCCAGTTGGCGCGAGCGCATACGCCACACCGCGCGCACACATGCGACCCCAGCGCGCTCGCGCGCGCAGCGGCTTCACGCTGCTGAGTCGACACCCCTCACACGCTTCGTGCCCCCACAGGGACCTCCACCTGCCACCCCGCCAATGTCCTCATACAACTGTGCCTCCATGGGACTTACGCCGAACACATCCAACGCCTGTAATATATCACTAGTAGGCAAACACCTGTTCATGGATGGGGCATGCGCAAGACGATTTGCGCAGTCCTGAACGTCGCGGCTCTTTACGCAAAAGGTCGCTCGCAAGAATGCTCCGCAGGCGTCCGTCTACTTCATCGCGCCCGCCAATCTGGTACCCGACTGCCCGCGATCGACTCGCACGTCCGACAGCCAGTCACGCGTGTCAAAACGCCAACCCGAATCGCAGTTCGATCGAGCCGCGTGCATCATCGAACCGATAGAGTCGACCCCCTTTGGTTGAGGAGAATCGTCCCTGGGGATTCGCGATCGAAATGTTGAAATGACCGTTGCAACGCGGAAATTCTGGCACACATCTGCACAGTCATTACACACGGCCACTCCAACACGCCATATGGTCATTGGCACGACGTCGAAACCACCACATAGAACGACGAAACGAAGACAAGAGCTTCGGGCGGCGACCTCTCCAGGGATCAACCGGAAGGAACCCTCGCCGCCGTGGTTCACCACTCTGGTTTGCACCTCTTGCTGCCGGCAGTGAAATAATAAAAGAAGATGATGCATGGACGGAGAGAAGGGGTAATGGACGTGTGGAGTCTAGTCGCAAGAGGTACGAAGGTGGCAGCAATATGCCAGAAGCGACAGGAAGCAGGCGTAGAAGCGAGGCGGTAGTTAGTGGCAGCAGCATTTAGAGCATGGGCAGAGGACACCGAGTCTGACTGAAGGAGGCAGAGACTGGGACGGGATGGGGGAGGAGGGGAAAGGGAGAACGGTCGAAGGAAGGGGCAAGGACTGGACATTTGCTGACATATATATATATATATATATGTATAAATATAAATATGTATGTAACTGTTTGCATACATCCCAGAAGAGATCGGATGGGTGCAGTGGGGAGAGGGGGGCCAGAGGGCAGTCTCCAAAGGTCACCAGAGGCCTGCGGGCCAATAACAGCAAACAACCATCAAACATACGCATAATCATAAGCAGAAGCGTGGTAGTAGAAGTAGTCGTAGTAGTAGTCGCAGTAGTCGTAGTAGTCGTCGTCGCAGCAGTAGTAGTAGTCGTAGTCGTAGTCGTAGTCGTAGTCGTAGTAGTAGTAGCAGTAGTAGTAGTAGTAGTAGTAGTAGAAGTAGTAGTAGTAGTCGTCGTAGTCGTAGTCGTAGTACTTGTACTTATAGTAGTAGTACTAGGACGTAGTAACACGAGTAATAAACATAGTGGTAGTAGTAATAGTATTATTAGTAGCCGTAGTCGTAGTAGTAGTATTAGTAGTATTAAAACAAAGTAGTAGTAGTAGTAGTAGTAGTAGTAGTAGTAGTAGCCCTAGTTGTAGTAGTAGTAGTAGTAGTAGTAGTAGTCGTAGTAGTAGTAGTAGTATTGGTAGTAGTAGTAGTAGTAGTAGTAATAGTAGTAATAGTAGTAGCAGTAGTAGTAGTACTAACAGTATGGGTGGTGGCCGTAATAGTAGTAGTCCTAGTCGTCATATTTGTGTAGCAACAGACGTCGTAACAGTCGTAGTCGCACTCGTACTAGTAACCGTAGACGTCGTAGTAATCGTATCCGGAGTAATGAAAAGGGAAAGGAGTAGACGCACTGGTTGTAGTCGTAGTAGTAGCAGCAGCAGCAGTCGTAGTACTTAGTAGTAGTCGTAGTCGTAGTCAGAATAGTGGGTGTCCAAGTAGTAGTAGCAAGCGTCTTCATCGTCGTCTCATCGTCGTCGTAGTAGGAGTAGTCATCGTCAGTAGCCAGAATCGACTAGTAGTCGCCGTAGTAATAGAAGTAGCAATCGTCACCGAAATACTAGTAGCTGTCGTACTACGACTACTACTACTACTAGCCGTAATAGTAGTAATCGTAGTAGTTGCCGTAAAAGAGGTAATAGTAATAGTAAGAGTCGTAGTAGTAGCAGTAATGGTAGTGGTAGTAGTAATCGAAATGGTCGTAGAAGTACTCGGAGTAGTCGTAGTAATGGGTCGTCAGCTTAGTAAGGGTAGTAGTTGTAGTAGTAATAGTCGTGGTAGCAATCGTAGTAGTAGGGTTAGGGAGACAGAGCAGTAGTAGTCGCGGTAATATAAATATATTTGGGGTCGTAATAGCAGTGGCAGTGACATGATAATATACGCAGTGGCAAGAATGCTAGCATTAGTAGTAGCAGTCGCAGTAGCACGATAGTAGCAATAATAATATTTAGTAGTAGTCGTAGTAGTACTAGTATTAATAGTCATACTGTTAGTAGTCGTAAGAGTCGTAGTAGTAGTAGTAGTGGTAGTAGTAGTAGTAGTAGAAGAAGAAGTAAAACTAGTAGTAGTAGAAGTAGTAGTAGTAGTAATCAAAAACAGTAGTCGCAGTAGTAGTAGTAGTAGTAGTAGTAGTAGTGGTGGTGGTAGTCGTCGTAGTCGTAGTCGTAGTCGTAATCGTAGTCGTAGTCGTAGTAGTAGTAGTAGTAGTAGTAGTAGTAGTAGTAGTAGAAGTAGTAGTAGTAGTAATAGTAGTAGTAGTAGTAGTAGTAGTAGTGGTAGCAACAGTAGTAGGAGTAGTTCTCGTAGTAGTTGTCGTAGTAGCCATAACAATAGTTGCAGTAGTACTAATGGTCGTCGGAATATTAAGGATGCGAGTAGGAATGGCAAACCAAATAATGGTCGCCCTGATCATTTTGGGGGGATGTGAAGGGAATGGCGTGACAGCGGAGAGGAGAGAGAGAGCGGATGGGATCAAGAGAAGAGGATCGCGGAGGTGCGATAATGTCTTTCGCCCAGGCGAGGGCGCCAGCTTACCCTGAAACTGCAAGGGAGATGGGGTCCTCGTCCTCCTGATCCTCTTTCTTCTAAGTGCGCGGTCATCCTCCTGATTTCCCCCCCTGACCTCCTTTGGTTCCACTTGCCCCTCCTCCTACTCATACCTTCTGACGGTCCTCGCCCTCCTTCTCCTCCTCCTCCTCCTCCATCAAAATCTCCCTCTCCCCGTCAACCTCATCCTCGCCCTTACCATCATCCGCATCCGTACTCCTCTTCATCATCCTCCAGCCTGTGCCCTTTCCTCGTCGTCGTCGCCCTCGTCGTCGCCGCCTTCCTCGTCGAGGGTCTCGTCGCCATCGCCGTCGCCGTCGCCGTCGCCGCCGCCCTCGTCGTCGTCGCCGCCCACCTCCTGGTCGCCGTCGTCGTCGTCGTCTCCCTCCCCGTCGTTGTCCTCGTCGCCGTCACCGCCCGGGGGGGAGCGCCCCCCCCCCGAATGGGGGGGGGTAGGGGGAGACGGTAGAAGAAACGCGCTGCACCACTGGCGCCCACAGGGCTGGCGGGCTTCAAGCGATGACGGCGATCCTGCTCTCGCTGGAACCATCGTCGCCGTCGTCTTTTTTCGCCGCCGCCCCAGGCAGCAGCGACGACACCGACCCCGCCCCAGGCGGCGGGCTATGCCATGAACCTCTCGTCACCACCACCATCTGTATCAACCAGGAGCGGCTGCCCCCCGGTTGTGCATCGTTGCAGCATTAACCAAAAACACCAAAAAAGTACCGAGGAAAATGGGTCCCGTGACCGGGGGCTGTCGCCGCGATCGCCCAGTCGTCTGATGACTGGATCCTCGGGCCCCCTGAGGCCGACGACGGTGAGAACCCCCATGGGACCCCTTCCCGTCAGGACCCCTCTCCTTCAGGAGCTCTGCTGGAACCGGATCCCCTACTGGGGTCGATCCTGGCGATTTGGGAGCCTCCAGGGATGCCCGAGCACATCCAAAACGACGGCGAATGACGACGACCCCTTTGGCCCGTGGCGGCGGGATCCTTGTGGGTGCTGCCCGCCAGGATGCGGCCGCAGTCGACTGGGCTCGCGAACTGCAGGCGCGGCTGCTGCCTCCGCGCAGCCACGGGCAGGCTGTAGTCCCCAAGCTCGGTGCAGATCTGGGCGGCCCGCGAGGCTGCCGTCCTCGTCGTGGTCGTCGTGGTATTTGCCGCCGCCGTCCACGTCGTGACCGTGGACGTGGACGTCGTCGTCGCCGTCGGGAGGAGGCTCCTGGAAGGCCCTGGAGTCCTATGGGGTCCAGGTGTGACTTGGAGGCTCCAGCACTGCCAAGGAGGGCCCAATATTGCCCAGGGAAAAGCCCCAGATGGCTCACGCAGCGTGGAGGCACCAAGATGTCCAAGGAGACCCCGCGAAGGCCCATGGTGATCCGGGAAATGACAGTGCGACGATTGCAACGGCGGCAGGCCGAAGTACAAGCTAACAGACAAAAGATGCCAAGGGCAGTATTGAAGCATCGTTCCTGCTGGAAGTTGAGTGGCGCACACTTCTCCCCCTCTAATGCCTTTTGCCCCTCTTCACTCGACGCGGCTACCCACGGCGACGCCGTGATGTGTGACCCCGCTGGACCGGTCAGCGCCATAGTCCGGCAGTGGCCACACCTCTCCACAATGAGGGGCTAGAGGCCTTCCCTCCCTCCGAAATCTCCCTTTCTACGGCAAGCTCCCATCGTGATGACGTGAACCATGGCTTCGGACAGGCAACGACGTGAACCGTTCCGTTTGCACAAAATGAACTCTCGGTTCCTCGAGGCTGCACAGCCCTTTCTTTCGCATGCATTTCGCCGAGTGGGCTGTCTTCTGCGGGTCCTGGGGCTTATGGCCGTGGCCACGAGGGCCTCTCGAATACCCAAAAGAAGACAAAGAGCTTGAAGCGTGGCCGCCGCGTCGAGGCGGCTCAGACCTGCCGTACGGCAAGTTCGCGTCGCCATTACGTGGGTGCTGGTTTCTGGCACGTTATGGATCGCCCAACTTGGAGCGATCGCCGCTTGCCGGGAGTTGGGGACTGCTGAATCTTGAGCGAGTGCAGGCAACTTGTGACCCCCCAGGAGCTGGGATTATGCCTAAGGCAACGACACAATATCACAAAGCCCTGAGAGCACAATTCGGCCACCCGTGGGCAAACAGCGAAACCCAACCTTGAAAGCCTGCGCTGGCGTCGCAACGGCGGGGCCCTCAAATATCCGACGCCATGCCATTTTGACAACGCGGCTCCCCGTAACGCCTAGACTCCTCCCGGGCGAACCGCATTTCATCTCGAGAAGCTTGGCTGACGGTCCCTGGGCCCGGTAGATGAAGGCAAGATGATAATAAGCTCGGATGAAACGATACATCGAACAATCTCTGACAACCAACGACTGGGGCCGCGGAAAGCCCACCAGAGGCCGGAAATTGCCAGAGAACCTGCCGATGTGATGTCTGCCGCAACGTGAGGTCTGGGACCTGCGCTGGACTGTGCCTCCGATCCGCGCCACGCCCGCTGGCAGACAGGATAGCCCCTCTGGTGCGCGTGGTCCCCGTGCCATGCGGCCAAGGATCGAAGCGCATGCTTACGGACGCGAGCGCCCGTCGGGGAGGAGGATAGAAGCAGGAGGATGGGGAGGAGGAGGGGCAAGAGGAAGCGGAAGGGGGAGGAAGAGAACAAGAAGGACAAAGAGAAACAAGAGGTGGGAGAGGATGGGGAGACCAAGGAGATGACGGAAGATGAAGAGAGGTGGTTGGAACAACAATGGAGGACAATAAGTTAATTATGGAGAACAGGAGGCACAGACAGTGGTGACTGTGTAGGCGAAATGCTGAGGAGTCCAAGCTGACGGTGCTCCCGTCTCAACATCTCGATAGTTCTGTGTATTTGTTGTGACTCTCTTTCTCTCTCTCTCTCTCCTGCTCTGTGTCGATCTCTCTCTCTCTCTCTCTGTGTTCCTCTCACTTTCTCAATGTCTGTCGCTCTCTCTGTCTCTCTCTCTCTCTCCTGTTCTCTCCTGGTGTATCTGATCTTCCCGACGGCGACGGCAGCGGCGAAGAAGACGTCCACGCCGTCAACGACGGTGGCGAGAATGGAAGCGAAGGGGCGTTGAGTCGCAAACCGTCATGTCGTCGCTAACGTCGTTGAGGGTCGCGGGCGCAAATCTGACCTCGGCTGGAATGGCGAGGGATGGAGGGAGGGCCAGGAGGCGTGGGGGAGAAGGGCAGGGGAAAATAATCAATTCCGCAACAAAAAAAATCTGCCATCTATTACGTCTTCAGCAGCAGTACGTACAGGACTAGAGAATTCGCACACACAGCCTCAGAAAGGCCGTCACGAGGTCGCGAAGAACCGAGAGAAGTCGCGGGTGCCAGGCTGACTACCTGAAGGGAGGGCTCGCCGCGGCTCGAAACCAAAGAGACCTCGGGCAGGCAACTTCTTCCTGATTCTCTTCCGCCTCTTCCTATGCCGTCCCTGGCGCCTCTGATCTGGGGCATCCGAGATCTCCGGCGCTTCCGGAGCACTGTCCTCCCTCTGCTCGTCTCGTCATTCTGCCTCCTCCTCCCTCCTCCTCCCTTTCCCTCGGCCTCGACAGCGACGATGTGGACGACGAAGGCGGCGGGATGGCGGTGGAGCAGAGGCCTCCTGGATGGAGTCGGAGGATCGCGCCGAATTGCCGATGCATCGGCGATGCATCGCTGGTGCATCGGCGATGCCCGGGCGACATCGGCGTGGAGAAAATCGGGCCTCGCATCGGGCCGCATCGCCGATGCATCGGCGAGGCAGCGCGATCCTCAGGCCTCAACTACACCGACCCCATCTGGGATGAGGCGGCGGACCAGGACGTGCGCCGCCATGCCTGGGGCGATCATGGCCGTCGTCGGGTTCACGCCCTGGCGCCCCGACCCCCGCACGAAGAGGAGGGAGGCCGCGGGCAGGGAGAGGGGGCGCCGGCGCGTGTCCGCGGGGGGGTGCGGGCCAGGAGAATGCCCGAAGGACCGAGCGCGGAGACCTCAACCCAGACTCGCCTGAGCGACGACAAGAAAGGGGTCTTGCGCGAGATGACACAGCGACTTCAACTCGGTGGCTTACGCGGGCCGCCAGCGCGGTGCGCCACACTGGAGACGAAGGCGCTTGCCGCGCGGCCTCACGCGGGCAGCTTGCGCGCCAATGTCGGTGAAGACGGCCCCGGTATTTTCCGTCGCTGACCTGCCGAACCGAGAGGGGCCTCCCGAGCTTGAGAGCAGTGGAGTGGGCCCATTACTGCGGCCGTGCACGGCCTCCAGAGGCCAGCGCACTCCAGGGTGGCAGGCGACAGGCGATTGCTTGGCCAACACCCACAGACCTACGCCCCCTGAACGCCAAATGGTCGGCCGTGGAGTGCCGCCCAAGGGGGGGTATGGAGACCAAGTAGACACATGTGCTAAGTCAGAGTACGACAACTCGGAACCAGTTACATCCGTCCAACGCTCCGACCCTCGAGGGTGGATGACATTGGGGAGGGGAAGAGGGGGAGTGGGAGTGGGAGTGCCGAGAGGATGTGAGACACACAGGGGGGGAAGAGGAGAGGGGAGGACGGGGCGAAACAGGGAGGATGGGACAGAGAGGAGGAAAAGGCGAAGAGGCAGGGAGAAGGGTAGAGAAAACGCGGAGGGGCAGCTTGCCACTAGGCAGCTCCTGAAGGCTAGTCGGGACTCTCCACATGAGACCCAGATTCAATCCACTGGAAGGTGCCTGCGTATATTTTTGAGTGGCGGATTCTCGTCCTCCGTGTGTCACCTCTGCTCCCGTCCCCTCCCCCCTGCCCTGCGCAAATGTTTGAAGGGGTCCAGGGAGACACACACACACAAATATACACACATTCCAGGATTCCCAATCGTTTTCAATATGTTATGAGTTCTTGTCTTCCCCTCCAGTTCCAATATGGTCAAGGAAATCGTTGTACGAGGAGTGGAACAAGAAATACAAAATTGAGTCTGCGAAAACGGCGAGTGGCAAAAGCCCGCTCCGACCACTCAACGCGCTCTCCTACTCTCTGTTGCTGGATCGCGAATCGTGATGGGATGCGGAAGTGTGGCCAGAGGGTCCATTTGAAACCCTGCAACTCAACGCCCACTCTTGGCTCTAGTTTCCGTGAGCTGCACTCGTATCTGTCTTAGTACAGGAGGCAAGGAGCAGACCAGACGAACGTCTGCTCCTCCTGCCCAGCTCGTGGCCATTCCTCCTCCGCCTCCGCATCCTCGTGATCCTCCTCCTGCACGACTTAGAGCCCACCTTCAACCTCCTGTCACCTCTTTCCTTTCGCATCCAACTCCAAACTCCTCTCTCAGCGTTGCCGCTCAAGTTCGCAGCTGCGCGCTGCTGCGAGACACATCTCTACATGTTCGGCACGTACTATCCGCAGTACACGTGGGTGCTGGCCACTAGCTGATGCAATACAATCTTGCCGTTCTCTCGTTCAATTGCTTGCATGGGTCACGCACGAGGCTGGAGGACATTGCAGCGGAGTCCACGAATTTCGGAATGATCGGATTGTGAAAGCTGGAACCAAACCATTCATGAATGAACAGTACCGTGTCACCCGAGTGTTGGATCGTACCGTCCTCGTGGCAATATGGAAACCGAGAAAATTAACAAGAACGCTGGATGTACATTCGTGGTTTCTCCGCCGTGGCAAAAATGTTTCCACCGGCTTGACTGCAAGGCCGTGGACTGGGAGTGTATTTAAGATTCCACGGTACCTCTTGATCTGCGGTGACACTGTGCTGTACACCAGCGCCGCCTGAATGGAACTAACTCTATATCTACATATCTGTACTGTTGCAAACAACTCAAGATGTTGGCATGACCATCAATGTGTACGGCCCCAAGCCCTGCTGCTGTATGCATTGTGACTGATGCGAATGATGGTGTGGGGCTCACCAAGCTGGAAGGACAGTGGAAAAGCATTGGCGAAGCTGCAGTGGGCTCGGCGTCACGCAGGAACGACACCTCTGGGGAGCTGGACATAAATTGAGATCGAGGGAGTTTATAGAGGGGCACTGGCTTTTCTCGACCACCTCCAGAGAGCGGATTGCACACAAGTTCTTCGACGTGCATGGCAGAATCAGCCTGATCGATCACGTCATCTTGCCACTCTCACCGACAGAGAAACTTGAATATTATGGTCCATTGAAGAAGCTGGGCAAACATCTGCATTATATACCAAACATCGTGACCACATCCCCACGCGCGCCAGAGTGGAAGTGGAGCTCGCCGCGTTTGACAAGTGTTCTCCTATGAACTGGCGGGCTCCGAGCGGAGACGAATAGGATGAAGTGAAGCGGGCCAGTGACAGTGTATGCAATCTCTTGCTGGGTCACACGAACGATACCGATGCCTGGCTTCTGTGGATGCGAGACTGGCAACAATGCATCAGGATACGCTGGCATCTGAAAACTTAGACTCTCTTCTAACAGAAAGTGAGATGACGTGTTGCCAGAGGGAAGTCAGACCTCGTTCGAACGCTCTGCATCTACGGATCGGGGTCGTGATAAGACAGAAAGCATACGTCTTCTGGCTGCGCGTCGGGATCTCAAAGCTCGCCTCCACGAGTGTCCCAGAGACGAGCTTGAGGAATGTCGTTCACAACTAACAGGGGTCCACCAGGAAGTGCGCCAAGCAACTCAAGCAGGCTCTCGAGATGAAGAAAGATAGACTTGCGAAGAAGATTTACGAAGCTTGGCGGAAGCGCAATCTAGATGCTGCAGTTCATCGTCAGTCCCTGCGCCTGACAGGCGGGCGGCATGGCAGTGGCAAGCGAGATTTCTCCAGATTGCAAGGTGCATTGTCCACTGATGAGGAATGGCTAGCGACTTGATCCAAGTCAGGCGGGGAGGGATGCTCGCGTCGAGGATGGAGTGGGGAGAGTTGATTCGGGATCGACCGAATTTTAAGCGACCCCCTGCTCCGCCGAGGTTCTGTCGCAAGAGAGCTGCCCAGCCACACTAAGACGCTCCAGGAGGCATCGTTTTATTTTCCAAGCGGATCTGAGGTCGGCCTCTAGGAGGAAAGAGATCCTAGGTGGTCTCTGCCGGCCGGTGGAGCTTGAGGCTTTGGGATCGGTGCGCCTCCCGAGGAGGATCCTCGTCGCTGCGCTGGCTTCGACTCAAAACTGCCCCCCCATCGTTGGCGAACATTAGAACCTGGCCGGTTCGATAATGTCATGTCGCGCAATCAAGGCATTGTTCTTCTGGATTGCGCGTTTCCTGGCGATGCCGGGCGGAGAGTGGTGCACGCCCTCGACCATCTAGGCAAGGCATTCCTCAAACGATTGATGAAGCGTGGACCACCATGCATCCATTCTGAGATGGACCACGGTTCTTGAGGCGGCGTACGAAGAAACATGCCATCCCTGATAACTTTTGCACGTATTGGCGTCAAAACAAGGCCGGTATGTACTGGATTGATAACGCTTTCGCCTCCCCCTCATGGCCAGGGAGCCTCCAGGGCCCTACTCTCCCGACCCCGCAGCTGGGGACGGCGGTGGTCCCGCGGAGGGGCTAAGAGGAAGGCGCCCTTTGCTCCCAGGGCTTCACTTCCAGTGGCAAGACTGCCGCAAGCCAGCTCGAGCCGAGCCAGCAGCAGCAAGCGAGCGAGAGGGGTGGAGGAAGAGAGGAGAAACCGAGGGGAAAAGGGGGAATGCGAGAATATAAAGAGGAGCAGAGAAGAAATCGAACGAGCGCCACATTCTTACCACACGGAGTCCTCATCGTTGTCGATTTGCCCTCGCTGCAAACTTAAGCAAACACATCTCCCAAAATTGAAAGGGACATCGCGTTGGCGACCCGCGAACGCGAAATCTGATCCTGCATTTGAACTCTCACAGTACCAAGAACTCCTTTCCGAAATCTCTCTCAGCAAATTCTGTCTAGGAAGTCTCCCGCATCATATCATATCTCCCAAGAAACAACCTCGGTCTGGACTCATCCGCCCACGCAGATATTCGTATTGCGAGCAAGGAACAAAACAATGTTCTGAACGCGAACGCGCAAACGCGCAACAACCTCGGCACAGCGCGTGAGGGGAGGGAGAACACATTAATTCTGTACACATCATGACTCAATAACCCCAGGTGTAAGAGAGAGCGTGATCCACCGCTCCGGAAACCAGGGGTACCTCCTTCCGAATATCACCCCCCTGCTTGAACACCCCCCCTTCCCCGGGCACGCCCCCCCCCGCCCTTTCTGAAAACAGAAGGGGTTACTACCGGTTCAACCCCCCCCTGAAAACCAGGGGGGTCACGACCGATTCGAAACCCCCCATCCACCACTCGCCGCCAGCAAACGACTCCTGGATCCCCACCACCGTCTTCACCACCGCCCTCACCATTGTCCCCACCACGACAATCCCCATCTCATCACTGTCCCACTGTCCCCACTGTTCCCGCCACTGTCCCCACCAGTGCCACCCACCACTGTCGCACAGTCCCTACTGTCCCCGCCACTGTCCCCACCACGGTCCCACGCTCCCCACTGTCCCCGCCACATTCCCAGTGTCCCCACCATCCTCGCCACTGTCCCAATGTCCCCACTGTCCCCACCACTGTCCCACTGTTCCCACCAGTGTCCTTTGTCCCCAGCGTCCCCGCCAGTCCCCACTGTACCACTGTCCCATTGTCCCACTACCGTCTTCACCATTGCCCCCACCGCCAGTCCCCAACACTGTCCCATTGCCCCCAATGCCCCCGCACCGCTGTCCCCACCACTGTCCCACTGTCCCCACTGTCTCCGCCACTGTCCCACTGTCCCAGCTGTCCCCACTGTCCCCGCCACTGTCCCCACCACGGTCCCACTTTCCCCACTGTCCCCTCCACTGTCCCATTGATCCAACTGTCTTCACAACAGTCCCGCTC